TTTCTTCAGTCCTTTTTGCCCTTCTCCCATTACTCCGCCTTTAAGCATCAGTACTATGTTGAAGGAAAGCGAGTTAGGGGGTGGGCCTATTGTGGAATTGCGGCGCCAATAGTTTTGTACAGGTACCTGACATTCTGCCACAGAATGCCCGGGCTGCGAGCTCCGCAGAGAAAACTTGCGAAGCCGGAAGAGGTTGTTCTAATATAGGAGCCTAGATAATTACCAATATTATGGCTCCATATTTGTTGCATAATTATAGTATATGGTACCTCAATTGGACTTCAAAATGATATTGGTAGTTAATTAGGCCCCTGTAGTAGCTACCCTATGCCCAACAAAGGGCTATATGAAGCCAAACCCTCAACCCTGAACCCTAGTCTGTTGCACGTAGAAGAGATGCGTAAGTATCCGGATTGACACCTGCCTTGAAGAATGAACAACATGATGCCACGCGCTCACAATGAGCATCATATGTCCGATTAGGGTTTAGTGTGCAGCAAGCATAGCTGCAAAGAAGTCACAACACGTGACATATGATCGGCACTGCCCACCACAGCAGCAGCAGCAGCAGCAGCAGCAGCAGCAGCAGCACGTGAACAGAAACAGATTAAGCATCGTTGCAATATTTGCTAAATAGAAGAACAATGATGAGCCTGTCAATTTCCTCGGTTGCACCAAATTCCATTCAATGTTGCATTGCAAGACTTTCTCGAAGGCAGAATGGGCTCCAATCAAACTTTTCATGCAAACCTTGCTCCAGTCCTGGAACCCTAGGCGCCAAACGCCCAAACACAGTCCCCGCGTCCTTGCTACTAATCACCTTGCACCCAAAATCTCGAATAATGCAGAAGTTTCAGTTTTGCCTTCCGTTTTTCCCATTCCCTGGGAAAAACCAGGACGCTAAGGCCCTCAGCGCGGAACCAATAAACCCTTCCCAAGCCTAGGCTTTGCGGTTTACAGGTTCGGATTTTGGGGGTGTGTTTGACATCAGGGTACATGTGATTGTGAGCATACAGGGATTGTCAGGGAATGATTCCAGTAGTTATTCAGCCTTCTACAAAGTGGGTTCCTAGAAAGGAAGCCCAACATAGAAGTCAACATAGTATCATTGATTTGTGCCATAGATACCTCCACACAGTTCCTGGAAACTCCCACATTAACCCAAGAACTTGAAAGCCAGACGCGTCATCAATCACTGCTGCGCTCCAGTCGCTCCGGGGTCTTCAAACATTCCATTCCGGCACATACGGCTTAGGGTTTAGGTCCCCCTGCTGAGTGGCTTCATGTCACAAGATGGTGCACCATCCGATTATCTGGGGGGAACAGAGCCCGTACTTGTAGCAGATACATCTTGAGAGCGTTTGTGCCAGTCGATCAGACCTCCGCCTGATCATCCTTTTTTTTGAGGGGGTTTCTTTCTATGAGGAATCTTAAGAGTTTTCGAGTTGCTGCCTCAGAAATGGAGCATGCTTGCATCATTGAGCAGCCTAGTTTGGGATCAAGCAGCGCAGTGGAAGGCTTTCTTTTTTCTTGCTCCAAGAAAGCCGCCATGCCGAACTTCACGGTGGATCAGATGCGCACGATCATGGAGACTCACCTGAGTAATACAGGGGCCTACAGGGGTCTCATATAGAGTTTATGTACGGATATGTATCGGGAATGGAAAAGAAAATCCAAGCTACCATGTAGGGTTTAGCGTATTAGTAGAATTTGCAAATAAGTATAGTGTAGTCCCCACATACTGCACGGGCATATTCTCCTTTGTGTTTTTATCATGAAGACTTACATTTTGTAGTAGGTGCTCCTAGTGCATGGCCAGTGAAAGGGCGAACATTTTGCTGGAATCTTCCTATCCGGAACCGAAGTTCCAAGAGAAGAGGGGTTCAACGAAGTGACCCTAGAAGACTTGTACTTGAACATCAGCTGAGGATAAGACGGATAACATCCGCTCCATGAGCGTCATTGCGCACGTGGACCACGGCAAATCCACCCTGACTGACTCCCTGATGCTCGCTATAGTTGTCCAGACTGGTTGTGTGTTTTCCTTTTAGTAACACCAGTTTCCATTTCAGTGTCTTATTCGGGTAACATGTCACTACATGTCCCTATGTGATATAGCGGTTTGGTGTTTAGGACTTGGGGATTTGCGCACAGTGATCTGGGCTGAGGGGTCTACCAATTTCAGGGCCGCATGTCTTTTTTTTGGGAGGGCGGGTGGGTGCTTTGATATACTTTGTTAAAGATCGCTGGGAAGAGAAAAGCAGGACCTGGATACAGACCCCTGTTGCCTTCCAGCATGACACCTTAGAGTGCCCTGAAATCCTACGAGCCCTAAACCCTAAACCCTAAGCCCTAGACCGTCCTGTTGTTGCTTAGTTGGGATGCTGAACCCTTCGCGAGTGCCCCAAAAACCAGTAAAAACATGACCTCGACCATAGCCCCGAGGCCTTGGGAACCTCCGAATCCTAAACGTTTCCATTTTCTTTTGCCTTTCCCCAAACGCTTACTTAGCCCTAGGCTTTTAACCCTAAATCTTACAGTCACCCTTAAGTAGATAGAATATGGCTTTGGGTATATCTTAATAAGACCCCATATACCCCATATTCTATCTAATTAAGGGAGACTATATCCCCAAACCCTAAACCATTTGCCATTTTCTTTTCCATTATCTCAATACATACCCCATATTCTACCTACTTAAGGGGGACTATAAGCCTAAGCCCTAAACCCCAAACCCTAAACCCTAAACCCCAAACCCTTTAAACCCTAAACCCTAAACCCTAAACCCTTGAAGTCCCTAAAGCCCTGAAGCCCTGAAGCCCAGGATCTGCAAGGCAGGCATTATCTCCGCCAAGGCCGCTGGCGACGCGCGCTTCACCGACACCCGTGCGGATGAGCAGGAAATGAGTCCTGGGGGGGAGGGGTGGGGGTTCAGGGTTTAGGGTTTTGGGGTTTAGGGTTTTGAATTGTGAAGATAAAGGTTGAGGGCTCAGGTTTTTGGGTTCATTCAGGGGGTTTCTGATTGGGTTCAGCGGCCAGCATGCTCGGAATAGGTTTCTGGGGCTGCCTCGAAGTTGAGTGCAAGGTAGCCCTTACCTCGAAGGTCCGGGCAGCAGGGTTGACTGTTGCGTCCTTGCGGGTCCGGGGTTTAAGAGCAAACACGGGTAGAGTTAGGGGCTTTGAGCTAGCAAGGGGCAGGTCCCAAGTTTATGACCAGATGAGATCTTACAGTCTCTTATAGTCACAATTGTAGACAACATGTCTAATGTGTTTTTCGTAATATGCCTACCTAGGTTTGGGGGTTGAAGGCTTTCCATTGGTTGGCCATCATTTGATTTTCGCAGGCTTCGGTTTAAGGCTACCTAGGCATCTTTTCCAGTTGGTTGAGGGTGCAGCGTGGTCAAGCAGAAGCAGGTGTTCAGGCAGTGTACGGGCAGCGGATGCACCAAAGCCCCAAACCCCTCAAAACCTTAAACTGCGCACCAAAAGCGCTGTACACCTGGATCGACAACCTGAACTCTAAACCTTAAACCCTGAACCCCAAACCCTACACACTGCACCCTAAACCTTAAACCCTGAACCCTAAACCCTAAACCCTACATGAACACGGAACACCATATGAGGCCCCAGAAAGACCGCAGTCCTCCTCCGAAACGGGCCTACACAGGGTCAGTTGTCAACATTGTGGTGTTTAGGGGTTTATGGTTATGGATTTAGGGTTCAGGGTTTTCTCCTGGTATAATAAATGCAGCCCCGAACATTTGATTCTGGTACCCAAAAAAACAAGGCTCGCATTTTTCATGTTCGCTCTGGGGAGGGCTCAGTCGCAAAGATAACTCTGATGCCTAAACCCTAAATTTATGCTGAAGAGTAAGAAGTCCGTCTGCTGTACAAACCTAAATCCTTACCATTATTATGGTCCTAGTGCACTTGTGTGAATATAGTCAGGGTACCTGAAACAGACCTCAGAATTGGTAAATAGTAGCTATCTAGGCTCCTACCCTAAACCATAATTCCTAAACCCTAAACCCAACATTACATGCCCCAGGCGCATACCCCTTCCCTAAATCCTAAACCACCCTGCCAGGGCTCCCAATTTCTGTAGGAGATCTTACGGCTTTGGGATAGCATTTGGGGTTTTGGGGTTTAGGGGTTTTGGGTTTAAGGTATGTGGGGATTTTCGAAAAACTAGTCGTGTCATGTGGGTGGTCTGAATAATCAGGATCATGGTATTCGGGGGTCAATACTGGGGCCCCAAGCCCTAAATCAGAACCCAAACCCCAAACCCTGTAGAGGTAGCGTTCCTCCACCAGTTGGCAGGAGCGCGGCGTGACAATCAAGAGCACTGGCGTGTCGCTGCATCTCGCGTTTGCTCAGAACAGCCTCCATACATAAACGGATATAGGGTTTAGGGTTAGGGTTTCCAGACCTAAAGTGGCCAGCGTACAAGCCTGAATATTGAGGCATATCATCTTCTACTTCTATACCTATAGTCTTGTAGTAGCAGTGCGAGGCCTTGTTTACAGTATTCAGGCCCCTAACACCTGGGTATTCTGTGTAGAGAGACAGGGATCTCTGGTGGGTTGCTCTCCGGCAAAAGCCAAAGCAGGCAAAAGGCCTGCCTTACTGGGGATTAGTAGGGAAGACGGGAATATTTGATATAGGGATTCTAAAGTGAGTATACTTTCCTTGTTCCTTACTCAGAGCTAGTAAGCTGTGGCTCTTGCAGAAGCAGCCCCTATGAACTTCGATGTTAGCTCAGGGAGGGAACACAGACCTGTAGCTGCAAACCCTAGACTTCTATATCCCCAAAGTCATAACGCCCAATCTTCTCATGCGCTTAGGCCAGAAGCAGCCCCTTTGAACTTCGATGTTAGCTCAGGGAGGGAACTTTGACCTTTAGCTGAAAACCCTAGACTTCTAGATCCACGAAATCATAGCGCCTAATCCTGTCATGGGCTTAGGCCCGAAGCCTGAACTCCGAAACTCCTATAGCCAAGGTATTTCGAGCATGACGAGGATGATGGCAAGGGCGCAACTCCGCACTTGACCCTGGGGCCATCTTTCAGCTAAATGGATGTAAGCTTAAGTAAGCTTACTAGCAGATTAGGTAACCTTTAAACTGTTGGGGTCTGCACAACCCCGTTCAGGGTTTGAGGTTTAGATTTTAGAGCATCCGCTGCTACAGCTAGCTTGCAACAGTCCTAGCAAGCAGCTGGCGTTTACCATTTATCAGAAGGGCAGAGGCTCTCAGCGACATGGTAGCGCGCAAGCACAAGGTGGGGGGGGGGGGAGCTCCTAGAAAAACGTTGCACTGTTGACGTTGAAGCCCTAAACCCTGCATCTGTTCAAATGAAGCTGCCAGTCGTTTCAAGGCTTCAGTATTTTGAGGGTTCACGGCGCCGCCAAAGATCGAGGGGCTGACCTGGCCCAGATAATCGTCAATGTCCTGACATGTTGCCCCATATTTGATAGGCCCCGGTTTTCGGATGACGCCACATCGTCACATCCTTTTCGGGAGGGTACGAAGCCCACGAGATAACATTCATTCAATGGTACCATTGAGCCTACAACTATGATGGGCGGGACACAACTACAGCGCCCAACATGCAATCTCGCAGTCCAAGAGCTGCCCCTCACCTGCTGTGTGTTGCCATTGGATATATATATATATACACATGTATGTAAAGAAGGATCTCCGTGTACCTTGTGACCTCCAAACAATCATCAGTCGGTTTTTGTCTTGCTTCGATCACAGGCACGTAATGCAAAATCAAACATATTCTTCGTCGCAGAATGCCTGCTTCGTGTCCTGGAGGTCTTGTCTTCTCAATCGGAAAAATTTGTTAACCGCGTTGCGCCTGAGAACTCGAAGACCACTCCACGTCCAATCCAGAAGTTCCGGAGCACTCTAGAGCGATCCAATCCCAAAGGCTCCAAGGTTGAAGAAATTCAGCCGCAATTGAAGTTGTCAACCGCAGATAGGTTTGGCATGTTTCCGCCAATGTTCTTGTTTCAATCGCAGCAGTGCTTTGCAAAATCAGTCGCAGATTTTCATGTCTCAAGAGCACAATTCGTCAATCGAAACGTTTCATTGCGAAATTCCCCCTTTTGTTGGAAGCAGAAAATCCTTCAACACTGCAGACTGCTGAATTGTTTCTGAGTGTGCTGCCTAACTTGTGGTCCTTGGAAATGTCTGCTTCGAGATATTGGAAACCATAATTAGACCCAACACAGATTTGCAACATGTCCGGTTGCAAAACCATAGACTGCGCATGTGACTAGTACATGTCTGGATGAGGCTGAAAAGCCAATGGTCAGTTTCGCACAACCAGTGGTAAGGATCTGTAGCTTTTAGCTGAAGAGCCAGAGAGCCAGTGACTTGCTGTTTCTTCTTAGGTTTTGCGCGTGTTTGTGTGCTATTGGCCCGCTCCGTTCCTGCCGCTTGTCGAAGTTGTTGCGTGACCCGTCCTGGGTTTTTGGCACGCGTTCGTCCGCTATTGGGCCCGTCCGCGTCTTGCATTTTTTCTGCTCGGTGCAGGGGCGGTGCTCTGTGCCCTGCGTTCCTGCCGGTCGGCATTGAGTTGTTGCTTCATCCTGGGTTTTCTGTTCAGCGGCATGCTGCTTCATCCCAGAGTTTGGGGTGTGCCCTACTGAGCTGTGGGCCCTGTCTAGAACTTTGCTGGAACTTTTCGCGGACGGGGGCGATGATGTTCACAGAACCCTCCTGACATGCCGCGGGTGGACGCTGCAGTTGGGCAGCCGGTACCCTTGCGTGCCGACTGCCTCCCCCTCCTCCTAGTAACTTAGTTTAAGTTCTTCCTTAACAGCAGCCCAGCAAAGCATCCCAACAAGATCTGTTAAATAGTCGTCATCACGAGCGCCCTGAGCCCGCCCATGTTGTTCAACCTAGGCAGGTTACGCCCAAACATTAGCCAGACTGATCCCTAAACCTGAAACCCAAATTGAATCCCAAAGTCCCTGGGGCCGTGGCCCTTCCAAGAACGTGGCCTTCAGGATTGATTTTTGGGTTTAGGATTTACGCTCACAGTAAGTTTTTGGCAGTAAGAGGTTTACATCGTTAGTGAGCCCTAACCCCCAAACCTTCGCAGCACAAGGATGCCCCCTTACAGATTTGAGTTATCAGTAATCATCCCAATGTCACCACCTACGGTGGTACTTCCACTCCCCCCCCCGACTTCCACCAACCCCAAACTCATAAGCCGTAGTCCTACACCCCCTAATAAGCTCCATCTTCTTTTCAACCCCAACATTTGGGTTTAAGCGCCAGTGTGTGTGGATCTAGGATCAACTTGATCGATTCTCCCGGGCACGTGGATTTCTCCTCGGAGGTGACGGCAGCTCTCCGAATCACCGATGGAGCAATGGCAACCAGCAAGCATGTTGCAGGATCAAGAGCTTCATAGGTTTCATCCCAAGCTCTATCGGGGCTGTAGAGGGCTTCATGAAGACAACATCATTTAAGAACTATGCAGAGTTGGAGATGTCAAGGAGTGTGGATGTAGCTTGGAGAGGTGTTGTTAGTTTTGGTCTTGGGGATTTCAGGGTTGTGGTCGCGAGATTGTATGTTCACGTTATTTATTGTCTCATTGATGTTTGCAGAGAACCTTAATTTGAGCAGCGCTTTGTTGCGGGGTGTGGAAGAGATTGGATAGCAATTTAGCGTGTGCGCGCGGTCTCCGGAAAAGCGCAGTCTTGCGCACGCTCGCATTGGCAACCGGCATACTGCTTGGATTGAATTTTCTTTATGGTAAACAAGGACGTAGTTCAGGGATGCTTCGCGGGCACGCGAGTAGTTGAATAGTATGAGTTTATGCCCTAAATCCTGAATCCCAATAGTCCCTATGGGTTGGGGTGTAATGCTTTGGCAATTCAAACTTGGTTGGTTTGGTGGTAGAAGGCTTTGGCAGGTCTGGGAGCCTAGTTACGAATACGCGTCCAGCATCAAACCGGCAAAGTACGACACAAGGAATGTTGGCCTGACGGCATGCCACCGCAGCACATGAAGGCTGCAACGACCTTGCGAATGACAGAAGCTACCGTCACCCAAACCATCAAACTAGTATGGAAGCCTACACAAGGCTCTACTACGACTCCCATCATCTGAAAAGGAGAGCATATCGGCTTCCATTTTTGCTTGGGGGAGGGTACTAGCACCATGGAGCCTAAACGCTTAGGCACCAGGGAGCGAAGGTTTAAATCCCTAAAGCTCCAACTTCGAGGCGTATACAAACCTTTGAAAAGGGTTTAGGGTCGGAGCATGATCCAAGTACAAAAGTCTTTCACGACCGTTGGAGCCGCAAAGTGACTGAATGAGGTATGAGGGCCGTGCATCTTGCTTGGTTTACATACAGGAAGCCGCGTTACGGCCGAAACGTCTTTTTAAGCCTTCGGTAACCTCCAAGGTCTAGATCCCTAAACCCTAAACCCTACCCAGGTAGTGGTCGACTGCATTGAGGGTTGTGCCGTGCAGACAGAGACAGTGCTCCGTCAGGCGAGAATTTGCGTCTCTTTTTGTTGAAGGCTACGTGGTAGGTTTAGGGTTTCGAAATTATGGTCGCTTTTTACCTCCAGAAGAATACGGCCCCAAATATTACGGGAAAGGGACCTTGATTTGGACAACCGCCCATGTAGGCATTACACAGGGGGATGTAGGGTTATTTATTGGGTTAGCATCCCCATGCGTCAGTGGTGGAGGGCCAAGCCAAAGGAAAAGGGGGACGCTTTAGGCTTTGGGGCTTACACTCACCCATGCTAACATGGAACTCCCAAAGGGTGCGTCTTTTTTGATGGACAGCACACATGGACAGCAGTCTTGTGAGAGCACCTCGTAGAGTTGCTTTTTCGGTAGGGGAGGGTAGAGCGTCGGGCTTGGGATGTACGACTCAGGGTTACCTGTGGCTGCATGTGCCCGCAGTTTAAGGTTCTACTAGTATGAATGTCAGAGTGATTAAAGGGGCTGGAAGTGATGGAACTGATGGATGAGTGGGCTTACATGAACGGGCTAGGCGGCATAAAGTGTTTGATATTAGGATTCAGGGTCCGGAATTCTAAGCTTAAACTTCAGTATTTCGTTAGGGCCGTAGTCGTCAGGATTTAGGCAGCGAAAGTTGTAAGAAGAGCACTTGTACGCGGAAGTTTCATTGGCGGTGTTGTAACAGTGTAGTGCCAGCGACTTATGAAAGTTTTGCTGTTGAAAGCCCTGAAGAAGCTTCGGAAAAGTCACACGAAAATATATCACAACTGCGCAGGCGCTGCAGGAGCGTGTGCGCCCTTGCTTGTTCGTGAACAAGGCGTTGGAGAGTAGGAGGGTACTGGGAGGAACCCTAGGCTTCAGGTTTTAGGGTGTAGGCGGGAACTTTTGGTGAAAGGGCTTCATAGGGGGTGCTCTGAGTTTCTCATGAATATATACAAAAAGAGATAGGTATACATACGTATATATACAATACCCCAAACCCTTAAAAAGACCTAGCTCCAGGGTATGCAGAGGTAAAGTTGTCTCATTTTGTATAGCGCTCTTGCTTGGCCAAGCAGGCCTCCGCTCCCTAAACCACCAAACACAGGGCTAAATCCCAAACCCTAAACCCTAAGCTTACTGGGGGTCAGTAAGGAGTATAGGAATTATATATATATATATAATACATTGAGTATATTCCCTTATTCCTACTAAGCTTCAGTAAGTAAGCGCCCTGTAAGGTGGACCGTTGCATCCTCGAGTTGCAGATGGAAGCCGAGGACATGTACTCCCGATTCCGATGCCGGCCTGCGTTGAGACCACATCTGGGTAGTACATTATAGTCCCCCTTAAGTAGATAGAATGTGGGGTATATGGGGATCTTATTATAATATACCCAATCCATATTCTATCTACTTAAGGGGGACTATGTGTGTACGAAAGTCTAAACTCTTTAAAGGGGGTTGTAGAAGGGATTATATAGGGGACTACTACAGGGATTCTTAAGGGGGATACTAGGAGTCTAGACTATGGCTCATGTACTCATGTAGGGATACAATAGGCCCAACATAGAGTAAGTTCACAATCAAGAGGAGAAACATTTACTTTGTTACACCCTAAACCGGTTACCCTAAACCTTAAACATCCTTAAGCCCGAAACCCTAAACACGCCCCAAAACCCTTAAACCCGAAACCCTAAACACGCCCGAAACCTGAAACATCCACAAACCCGAAACCCTAAACCCTGAACATTTGGAGGTGTATAGGTTGAAGGCTTGCAGCAACTGGGGGTCCCTAGCACCGGTGTTATAGTGTAGGGCCCTTCATGCGAAGAAATTACCATCTAACGCACGTTTGACGCAGTCTCAAGAAATCAAAGGAAATGCTATTGAGAATGTGAACGTGATCATCGCCACCTACAACGACGCGTTGATGGGCGATGTGCAGGTTACCCCCGAAAAGGGCACCTGGGAGAATGGCTGAGGGTTTGGGCTAGGTAGTGGTACACACAAGTTGCAACTAGGCAATGTCTTTTATGGATAACATTTGTGTCTGAGAATATGACACAGCGTAAATCCTAAACCCCAAACTCTTCAACCCAGATGCAAAAACACAGTCCATATCCTACATAAAGACGACAGTCTGTTTTAAAAAGATCTCGGGTTTAGGCGGGTGTAGGGTCTATCTTGGATCGACCCCCACCCAGGAATAGTGGTATAATGGGGTATATATGAGGACCCTAAACCCTAAATGGGCATTATCCATTAGGAGTCATTATTGCTGGGTGGGGGGTCCTCTCAACCTAAGGTCTAGGGTTTAGGCTCTAGGGTTTAAGGTTAAGACGCAGGGTTTAGAGCTCGGGGCTCAGGGTATAGGGCTCATTCGCGGGGATTCTGGTTTAACGGTTAGGAACTTCCAGGCACATTATGTCAACGCTTCAAAATGCATTAAAATCTTACGGGCAACCACAGCCATAAACTCTAAACCCCCATAACCCCTTAATGGCCTGAACACTTTGACCATTGCACGAATGAGCCTCTCCGCGTCCTGAATCCGTGGGGGTTTAGGGTTTCGGGTTTATCCTTTAGGGCTCAGATAGCCCTTTATCATCACAAAGGCTCTAGGAAAGAGTGCTGTAGGGGTTTATGGTTTGAGGACCCATGGTTTTGAGACAAGCTCTGATCATAGAACCGCAGCTATTCTCGAGAGAGCTGTCAAACCCCGTCAGTGAACCCTAAACCCCAAACCCTAAATCCTAATCCTACAATCCTAAACCCTTAACCCTAAATCCTAAACCCTTAACCCTAAACCCTTAACCCTTAACCCTAAACCCCAAACCTGAAATCCTAGACTTGAGATCCTAAAGCCTAAGCCGTAAACCCAAAGAGAGCTCAGGCACCGTAGCCTTCGGCAGTGGCCTCCACGGAATCTGGCCTGCGCTTTTACTTGTAGGGAATGGAAGGGATAGAAAGGAACATAGAGGGTTTAGGATTTAGGATTTAGGGTTTAGGATTTAGGATTTAGGGCTTAGGATTTAGGGTTTGGGGTTTAGGGTTTAGGGAGTGGAGGGATGGAAAGGAACATGGAGCCATTGTTAGGGTTTCTATAGGGGCCTACAAAATAACTGCTAATTTTTGGTTACCATAATTAAAATGACAATCAACAAATATGATTTGTAGTGGGGTTCTGAGGCCAGTTTAGGTTTAGGGATGCAAAAGAACGTAGCAGCCACTATTTAGGCTTCAGGGTTGAGGGTTGAGGGGTTGATGGGGGAAGATATCTAGCATTGCCACCATAGCTGGTGAGGTTGTTGTGTTGGACTTGTGGTCACTGCTCACTTACTATGATTGTGAATTGGTTGTATTCTTTATCTTCTTCCTTGTTCTTGTTGCTATGCCGCTTTCTCATAACCATCAGATCATGCGTGTTATGAAGAATTTTGGTGATGTGCAGTCTGGTATCGGTTACTAAACCCTCAACAATACCCTGCCTGCGGGCTGTTGTTCCTCTATCTGGTGCTTAGTAGAGGGTCAATCAAAGAAAGGATCCCACAAGCACTCCGATCATACCTTTCACTGGTCCAAATAACCCCCTCCTGCCCGCTCTCTACGAAGCGCCAGGGTGTAGTACCCGACCATTACTGTTTTCGCACATTGTGGATAAAGATGGCAATGGAATGTTGGGTATTGGCCAGATTGATTGCAAGGATGGGGCTTCACCACTGAGCGTTTTGCAAAGATCTACGCTCAGAAGATGGGCATGGACAAGGACGGGTGTGGAAATCCAAACCCTTCCATGTCACGCTGGGTTTGAGGTGTAGAAAGCAAGCGTGGTTTCACTAGGTGCGCGTGGTCTGCTCTAGGTCGTCCAAGGCTACAATTTGGGGCTGTGTTTTGGCCTTCAACCCTGAACCTTTCTCATCTTCCCATTCGTCGCCGTTCCTTAGACATGTTCAAGTAATCATCCTGAACCCCGTCTTGTGTCCGACTGAGGACCAGCAGCGTGACAGCAGCACATTTATATAAACTGGGCGGCACTGGGATTATCCATCTTCCCCTATTTTGGTAGAAGGAACCAACCCGAAACAAAAAAGTGCCAGTCTTCAAAGTATCACCCAGTCAAGTCATGTCATGGTCCAGTCTGAAGGCAATGCTTCCCACCAGCCACAGCAGCCAATTGCCAAAACATTGATGCCGACTGATGCTACTCGCATGTGATTCACGCATTGTGCCGGCCCAGAGAAGCATAACTTCGGAGAGTTACATTTTTGTTACATGCATCCGATTCCCAGGCCATCGCCCATTCGAACCGCATACGCTTCTCAGAGCATACATGTTGGCCCTCATACTTGCAGTGGGCTCTCCAAAACAAAAGTAGTGGTGCCTTTTGGGTGGTTTGTGGAATCAGATTATAGCCCTTTAGGGTCTTCATTGGGGCCCCTAGACCCCACACTGGCCACGTGTTCACGCAAGAAGCACGGGCTGTTGTGACTTGAACAGAATGTGGTGGTTTACCTAAAGAAGGGAACCCCAATAAAGACCCCACTATACTATAGTCCTTGCTATGGGGACCCCCAAAATGGTACCCCCAATTTTAGGAAACCCCCATTATCGCGTCTGGCTTGTGCTCTGGGTGGTTTGGCGATTGAGGAATGCAGCCTCTAGGACTCCATGCACCAACAAGAGGATTTTGGTAACCCTCAGCCCCCCAGAATTGGGTTTAGGGTTTAGGGCTTAGATTTATACGCCGGGTTCATACGAAATAAGGGAATATATATATATATACATATATATATATCTATATTGTTATATTGCGGGTTTATACAGGGACTAGATTCCCTTGTTCCCTACGAATCCTCAGGAAATATAGAAGTCACATGCTAGTTGGGCTGAATTCAGCCTCTACTTAATTAGGCTTTGGCAAGAGGATAGGTGGGTTGGCACTTATCGCCGGCAAAAGACTAAACAGTCAGCAATCTGATGACAGCCGACGATCTTTGTAAACAGATGTAGGTGAATAACCCAGACCTCTACCAAATTTTCAGGTAAGTATGTGATCCTCACTTCTTGAAAACTCTCCTTTGAACCAACCCTGAGCCCTACACCCCAAGCCCTAAACCTTTTCGCTTCGTGAAGGACAAGATGATGCAGCGCATGTGGGGAGACTCCTTCTTCAATGCCAAGAAGAAGGCACGCCTGAGTTGTTCAGGAAAGGTTTAGGGCCTAGGGTTTAGGGCTTAGGGCTCAAGATCTTGCGTTTTAGAGTTTAGGGCTTAGGCTTTAGGGCTTCCGGTTTGGGGTTTAGGGTTTACGGCTTAAGTCCTAGGGTTTGGAGCCCAGGGTCTAGAGTTTTGGTTGAGTTGAAGTTTGGCAGGGTCTTGTATTTAGAGTGGGGGAACGTAGAGCGGAAGGACAAGGCTGTGGCACACAAAGCTGCAAACATTGGCCATTGGGTCAAAGCTTTCGTAAAATGAAGTGTTGAAGAGCTAAGGCTTTAAAGTTCGTATATGGCAACTTGCCAGAGTTATCTTCCCCGTTTGGGTGCCTAGTAGAATAGTAAGATGGCCCTTGCTGCTTAGGATACCCCAGAAAGGGACCATAACTTTGACAACCCCCTCACATGGGGTTGCAGCGCTTCGGTTCACCCTTTGCATCGAACCAGGGTTTAGGGTTTAGCGGTCCAAATCGTAGACGGTTTAGGAACCTGATGGCCGGTATCCTGCATGCCGAGTCTTTGGCCCTTAGATGCAAGGCCCCAAGTGATTGCGCCCGGAGTTGAGGTTGAGGGTTTACTTGGAGAGTCTGGGGAACTTAGTAAGTAGGTTAATAACCCTTATAAACCATATAGTAACCCAAGTGATCCCCATCATTAACCTACTCAATAAGTCCCCCTGACCCTCCAAGTAGGGTTAGAAGGATTGGGGGCAAATAAGGCTTAAGCGGTGCTTTGGGGGAAACATGTTCCCATTGTGTGCTCTAAGCGTCCCATTGTCTAGGCTCCTAACACCCTCGGGTCCATGGTCTCAAGAATTTTCCGGGTGGTCTGAGATTGGTGCTACTGTCTACCTTAGTAGAACCAGCAGTACAGCAGCTTAGAATCTATAATCCTTCAACCCCAAGCCCTGAGCTTCAGGAAGGTGAATGTGCTAATTAGATCACAGATGCACACACGCCTCAAGGCCCAAATCACAAATCCCTCTACACCCCAGAAACGCAACCCGCAACCCTACAACCTAAGTTTGAAACTTTCTGTCAGTCTTAACCTTCTCGGACGTCGAAAAATAGATCCTTATCGTAGCCTCCACATAGTCCCCAACACGTAGTTTCCATTTCTTTTTGCGCTCCTTCATTCCCTCTAGCAGCATGCAAATAAAGACTAAAGTCTACACACTTCATGAAACCCCACATGATTCCAGTTTCCATGTTCTTTGCCACTTATTTTCCCCATCCCCTAACTAAAATCAGCACCAAACTCCATATACCCTGAACCCCCCAAACCCTGCACCCTAAACCCCTTAAACCCGAAACCCTAAATCCTAAACCCTGGACCCTAAAAGCCCTGAACCCCATCCTAAACCCTTAAACCTTGTGTAACCCCTATCTAACCCCTATAAGCCGTTCAAGGGTACCCCAAAATTTGGGGGCGAAAGGTGTGGACCAACGTCCAGCAGCCAGAAGGCTGCACTGAGCCTTTGCAGAGCACCTTGGTCCGACATGGCAAAATTAGGGGCACCTTTAAAGGGGTTTGTAGGAGCTAAGTAAGGCTTATAGGTGTTTATAGGGGTTATATAGGGTTTAGAGGTTTAGGTGTTAGGGTTCAGGGTTTCCGAAAGTTAGGGGTAGCCTTAAAGGGGCTTATAGGGGTTATATAGGGCTTAGGGTCTAGAGGTTCAGGGGTTTCGGGGTCAGGGTCTCCGAAAGTTAGGGGCAGCATTAAACGGGTTTATGGGGGTTATATAAGGTTTAGAGGTTTAGGAGTGTAATGTTCAGGGTTTCCGAAAGTTAGGGGTAGCCTTAAAGGTGTTCAGTGGTGTTTTTTGCGGTTATAGGGTTTAGGAATTAGGGTTTAGAGGAGGTTTGGTGTTTCCCAAAATGGGAGTACCTGTCAAGGGGTTCATGGGGGCTATATAGGGATTATATAGGGTTTAGGGTCTAGAGGTTTAGGGTTTGCCTAAGTTACAAGTACCTAGGTATGATTGTGTGGGGATATATAGGGTTTAGGGTTTAGACCTTAGGGTTTTTCAACAATGAGGGGTACCTTTCTGCTATCCCCTATAGTAAAGGTAACAGTATTTGGGGGTCTACATTGGCGTCCCCTTCTTTAGGGAAGCTACTACATCGTGGCTTTCGGGCTGAGGGCCCCAAACTGTAAACCCTTGTCAAACTGATGGGTTGCTTTTGGATTTTACAATATCCCGAGCAAAATACAATGACATCACCCGACCCAACCATAAACGGTGGGGCTTCCCGAAGATTTTTCAATCTGGCTCAATTCCATGCTTTGGAATTATCAAAAAAAACTGCCAGATATTGGGGTTCTAGGTTTACATTGTGTTTTTTTCAAATTAAGGCCTGTTTGGATTTTGAAGATGGCGGATCTCGAGCCTCAACCCATGCTTAATGCTTGTCTCTGGGGAACTTAGAAAGAGCTGTAATATTCTGTGTGTCTTTAGATTAGTAAGCATGATCTTGAGAACTATCCGCATATGTGGCTTTTGTGGAGATGATGTCAGTTACCAGAGAGACGGTACCGGACAGTCTTGATTGTGGTAAAGCTGTTGCGACCTTTCATTCTTTGCGTTGTTCCCAGGAGCAGCAGCATTCTGGTGGTATTTGTGAAGTTTAAACGTCAAGCTCCCTGAGATTTCGGTACAGAGATGGAACTTTGACTTTGGAAACCAACCCCCGTTTGTTGCTCGCCTCATGGCGTACGGTTGAAGGTGTGGGGAGCATGCTTCTGAATCGTATTTCTTCCACATTCCCAGCAGGGACCCTAGGCCCTACAAACCCTGTATCATCCCCATAGATCCCGAAAATCTTTGGGAGTTCCTGTCTTTGGAAACCTCTACATCTATCTATGTGTTGGAACTTCGGTTCCCAAACGCCTAAACCCTGGACCCTATACACCCTAAACCCTAGACCTTGCAGCTGCTGCTGCTGCAGGAGCCTTCTGCCAGTTCATCATGGGCCCGATCAACCAGCTCATGCGCGCCATCATGAGCCTAGACTGATTTGGCAGCTGATAGTAGTAGGCATATTGCGAAACACACGCATGATTCATCTATACGTGTACATATCAGAGACTATAGGATGCTGCATGGCTGCAAGTGTGAGACTACAGGATGTTACATGGTTTTGTCTCGGGTTCTTCTATGACTAGTTGGGTTTGGTTCCGGTCCACAGGCTTGCGGGGGCCGTAGGGTGAGTTCGCCTTGACATACCGTATTTGCACTTCTTTGTGTTGCGCGCCATGCAGGACATGTAGTCTCATGTTTCGAGAGATGTTGGGCTTAGAGGTGCATCTACTGTAGAGGCCTGGGGACTTACCAACATTGCCAACAGTATTATCTGGTCTGGGGTATTGCCCTTACAGTATATAGATCTAATAGAATATGCCCCACAATCCTGTTCGAATTCTTTCGGCCCCTGGAGTACATAGGCCCGCGTTCAGAGAAGAAGTGTCGGTGTACAAGGACCTCACATAGGGTCATCAAGTCGTGTAAAGTGGGCTAGGAAGCGGTCTTAATTCCCACGCCATCAAGGAACGATGACAAGGAGAAGTATGAGAAGATGATGGGCACTCTTGGCATTGTGCTGCTTGGGTGAACTGAAGACACTTCAGAATGGCATTCGAGGCTTGTTCAAAGGTCCTTGTGAAGGAGGGGCCAATAGGAATACACTTCCTCAGGTATTTTGAACAGCAACCATGTCTCATATGGCATGGTGTGATCTTCAGAGTTTGGGGGATTTCGTACTAGACGTTGGTCTTGCAAACCACAGTCTATTCTGGAATCATCGCTGCAATGCCTCCGAGGACCTTCTAGGACCCTATGAAGTCCTTCATGCAATTCTCACGCCTAAGCCCCTAATGAAGCCCTAAACCCAAAGCCAGCCTCCAGCCCCCAGTCCATTAAACCCCGAAGCCCCTCAACCCTAACCCCTGAGCCCTAGCCCCACAGGCCCTATACCCTGAACCCCTAAGCCATACTTGGAATGTCAGGAAATGTATATAATGATGTGGATAACAAGGCTTACTGTATGAGCTACCGTGAATATTCGGCTTGCCGAGAGACCACTGAGTGTGGACATAGAGGTCCCTTTGGCATTTCGTGTAGTCCTAGTATTAACAACCCATGTCCTCTAACTATCTGGAAAATGTTGGCTGTAGCTCGTAAGGCCCCCTGACCCTTCCAGACCCCTAAACCCTAGACCCTAAACCCTAAACCCTGGCGTTTTAAAGAAAAACTACGCCCTAAACCCTAAACCAAGTAGACGCCCAAGCCGAGGCTGAAGGGCGATGAGAAGTCGCTCACCGGCAAGCCCTTGATGAAGCGAACTATGCAGATCTGGATCAACGCTGCGGATACCCTGTTGCCGGCCTGAAAATGACAGAGGGTTTAGGGTGTAGGGTTCAGAGTTTGGGGTCCAGGATTTGGGGCAAAATGTCTCATCCAGGTTTCGGCGTTCTTGCAAAATTCTCTCTAAATTGGAAAGAAAGGGGGTACTACAGGTGGCTAAACTCTCATGAATAGTCTGGTCCTCTTTTCCTTGTATACTTACGGTACCTCAAGCAGACCTGAACATGAGATGGGCCATCAGTTATTGAGGCCTGTGTAGTACTCCGGCTTTGGCAGTAACAACAGGTGCCTGCCTGTTCTCAAGGTCCCCGGTTTTAGTTTCTGCTCTCGTAGAAAGCCCTTTTCAGATTTCCGCGGTTTCGGGAACAGTCCTCCCCCTGTTATTATACAACTCGTTCTCATAATAGACATTCCTTATTCTTGGGGGCATTATGTCTTGTTAAGCCTTAAATCTTCAGCCCCCTTGGCTCATGTAGGCCAACTCCGTCATCTCCGATCAGGAGGGTTTGGATAATCGCCAACCCATATAGCAGCACTGGATGGAAAATATCTTGTCCCGCTTAAGATACCAACACATTGTAATTTCTGGGTTATGGGCTAGTGACCCTGATTAATAACCCCCTCCCCTCAATAGGGACTATGATATGGATTTTCATATTAAAGCCCTCAAAAGGCTGGACCCTAAACCTACATCATGTAAGGTGGTGCAAGATTTCCTCCATTCAAAGAAGGACCGGAGTCTGTAACGACCACATGATAGTCATAAGGTCCTCATTTTGGAAATTGGGCCGGGATTAGGGATTAGGGTGTAGTAAGGGTTTTGGGATTAGAGTTTAGGGGTTTGGGTCAGGGTTTAATGTTTAGGGTTTATCGCCGCCTAATATACACCTAACCCCAGTTCCCATCCAGTTTTTCATGTTTTTCCATTTGTTTCTCCATTATACCCTAAAGGCTACATATCCCTAAACCCCGAACACCCCTTTGCAGGGGCCTGAGACTTGCATTTGATTTTCCGTTTTCATTTGCATTTGTTCTCTACTCGTCTTATTGCAACCCCTAAAACCTAAATCCTAAACCCCAAACCCTAAATCGTCCTCAATCCCTAATCCCTAGAGTCTAAAGCCTAAACCCTAAACCCAAAATCCGTAAACCCTAAATCCCCAAACCCTAAAGCCCTAAAGCCGAAACTCTGAGGCTGGCGATGATTGTGACCAAGTTGCCATCCCCACGCGCTGCCCAGAAGTACCGCGTGGAGAACTTGTACGAAGGACTGATGTTTGGATTTTACCTAAACCCCGAAAGTTTAGGGTGGGTTTTAGGGTGTACCTAAACCCCAAAAGTATGTAAAATAACAGCCCTAAACCCAGAAAATAGCCATAAAAGCCATTATTTTACATACTGTTGGGGTCCAGGTGGGGTTGAGGCTGCAGAGTCCGGAGCCCCGAGTTTAACCTCTGCGAGGATTCGGGTTTAGTGTAGGTTTGGGGTTAAGGGGTTCGGCCTTCAGGAAGCTTTTGACTAGAGCGGTATTATGCAGGCGGGAAGAACTTCGAGCCCGCTAAAACCGGTCGGTAACCTCGCACTTGTGGCCCCGTACCTACGAACCTCGGAAACCACCAATGACGAAAGACATTCGTAAACCCAACAGCCCCTAAACCCTAAACCCTAATCCGCGGCAGGACCCATGGATGATGCGGCTGCTACTGGCATCCGCAATTGTAACCAGAGAGTTGTTAGTAAGAGGTTAGGGTTTAGGGCTTAGGGCGTAGTGTGGGGAAGGAATTCCAAAGATGTCTTGATCTCGCTGACCGCATTCCTTTTGTCAGTCTGCGAGAGGGGATCACAGCCTCCAAATTTTTGGGCTTTTGGTAGCAGGGTTTAGGGTTTTGAGTTCGTGGTATGAAGTCTTGACTTTTGGATTTGGGGCGCGATGTTAAAACGTCGGATGCAGAAGCTCAGGTGATCCAAGCGGACCTCTGATGATGCACCTGGTTCTTTGTTGGGTACTATAATGGAGAATCAAATGGAAAAGAAAATGGAAAATGAAATGGAAACTGGGATTATATAGGGGATTATAGGGATTAGGGTTTCCCAAAGGTGTCCCAAAAACCTCGGAGTCCGTATAGGGATCTTCAACCTGCTGTGGGTTGAGGGATTTGGGATCCCAAAGCAACCCCCCAAAACCCCCTATGTAACCTGATATGACCCCTATATCCTCTTTAAACCCTAAACCTTGAATTTAACCCTTAAACCCTAAAACCCTTGAAGCGTTTGAAGCCCGGCTGCAGACTATACAACGCCTAGAAGAGCTTTGGGCTGAGGGCTTACTTGGTGGGTCGTGGGGACTTAGCAAGGCCCCACGGGCCAGTTAATCAATCCAATGATCCCCTTGATTAGCCTACGTACTTACTAAGTCCCCATGACTCTCCAAGCATGGTTTTGAGGTTGGGACGTGATTGCAATTGGATGTGACAACAAACTCCCCGAACCACCTACACAGAAGCGACCTCCAATCACTCAAGCCTCTTACTATTGTTAGGGTTTTCCTGTAGCCCGAAGTACCTACAGTCTCGTAGTAGTTACCCGCTGAATTGTGAGGTATAATCCGTTCAACCTGCGAGGAATAGGGTTTACAGGCAGTGTTCAGGTTCTCAGCCTTCGTTTAGCCCAGGTGTGCATCCACGATGGCCCCAACCTCACGCTTAACCCTAGACTTATACTTGTTCTTAGAAATACTGTTGTTATTGGTATTATTCTTATTACTCCAAACCCTCAAACCCAAACCCTACGCTCCAGGTATGTGTCGAAGATGGTGCCCACCTCAGACAAGGGCCGCTTCTACGCCTTCGGCCGCGTCTTCTCCGGAACCATTGCCACGGGCCAGAAGGTGGGCGTGGTCCAACAACTTGGTCCTCTGATAGCTAAAGTCTAAAGTCTTTAAGGGGATTATTTAGGGAATTGTATAGGGGATCAATATAGGATTATCAAGGGGGATACTGGGAGTAGCTTGAACTACCAAGGAAACATCAATCTTTTAAGGCTAGGGCTTGCGGTATGGAATTTTGTGGTAGGGTTGTTAGTCCCATGAGTTCTAGGATACGGTGGATACTACCAATCCTGCATGCCCTCAGTACCTTGCTTATACCTCGGAGATTATGGTATTATGGCATACTACAGTCATGCAGGCTTTCTTGAGTAGTTTGGAGGAGTGTAGGTCTGAGGGTCTGTAGGCATGCGGCACCCTGTGTTGAAGGTTAAATAAATGGGCACACCGGGCATGCCAAAGCAGCGTTAGAAGTTGGAGTCGACAGGTATTGCCGTGGAAGTTCGGGCACAGCAAATTGGGGTACCACAAGAACTGACGATAGCATAGGAATAGGAACCCTAACAAGTCCGGTATAATTTCTCCACAAGCCTCCTAGCATGAAATGGTAGTTTCCCAAATTAGGGAACCCCAATATAGACCCTAATATACTATAGTCCTTATTATAGGGACCCCCAAACAGGTACCCCTAATTTTGAGAATCTCGGATAAATATAGAATTCGCCCAAAACGCTCTTCTCACGAGCTTGGTAGAGAGCAGGTGGCCACGTGAGCAGTAGTTTAAATGCGGATACTATGGTCCCAAATATACGGTCAGAATATATCTTCCCTTGGTTCTAGCAGCTTACAAAAAGAATATATAGTCCTCCTTAAATAAATAGCATATGGGGTATATGGGAATGTTATTATAATACACCCAAAGCCATATTCTATCTACTTAAGGGGGAATATAATCTTGCCATGTTGAACCACGCAAGAGAACCGCTGCCCAGGTGCGAATTCAGGGCCCGTACTACAAGCCCGGTAGTAAGGAGGACCTGCATGTGAAGAACATCCAGCGAATCTCGTGTCGTCGCACTTAGGGTTCAGGATTTTTTTGGTTTAGGGGTTAGGGTTTAGGGGTTTGGGGTTTGACTTGGGGTTTGGAGTTACTGCACAATTGGCGCACCAATGTGGATGCTAAAAATCTCAACCCTACATCCTAGACCCTAAACCTTGCGAATTGAGATACTGTAGCAGACCAAGGTCGTGCAGGAAATTGTACCATCAACCACACTGTATGGGTTGTCCACCAACTAACTAGGTACAGTTTAGGGTGTAGGGGTTTAGGGAGTACCCCATTAGTACTCTTCTTCCCTCGTCATTTTGGGGTCTCCTTACTGACGCTGAAGAGTAGGAAAAGGGGTACTTATAGTATTAAGCGGTTACTCGGGAACCTAGGTAAGCTTTAGGAATTGAGCTTTGGGTTTCTTCACTTGAACTCCTACCTAGACCCTCCAATGCAGTACTTTTTAGGATTCCTAATAAGAACCCTACGCAAACAATACCAAGCCTTAAAAGGAAAAGTATGTTGAAGGGTCCAGGCAAGCCACAATCCGTCAGCTGCCTGAGAATTTAAAGTTTAGTCATGACGGTTCAGGATTCAGGGCGTAGCATACTCTAGGTGAGCTAGAACCTAAACTCCTGAAACAGGGCTATATAGGGGATTGTTATAGGTTACTGCGGTAGGGATTGTTCAGAGGGATACCAGGTAGGGAAAACCCAAGTTACAACAAAGTAAAATCTTTATAGTCCCGCATACAAGTTGTTCGAGATAACACTAGCATTTTGCAAAACACCTGCTTAGAGCATAGAAGACTTAGGAACCGTGCTGATGATGGGCCGCACGACAGAGCAGATCCAGGATGTTCCTTGCGGGAACACCGCGGCTGAGCTGCTCAGTTAGGGGGAAGTGTCCAAAGATTGGTGGCTCCTTTTACAAGGTTCTGCATGGATATATAGGGGTATATCATGATGTAGGCACATGTACTCATGTATCGGGTATCGGGATGTAAAGGGCTAAGACGCCAAGAGTTTCCAAAATTCACAGGTCACTTTTTTGAGTACAAACCCTAAACCCTAAACCTTGGGGTCTACATTGGGGCACCCTCCCAGGGATCCATATGAGGTTCTCCCCAGAGTCCGGGTTTTCCGGCAAGGGCATTAGGCATTAACTTTCAAGCTTAGGCAACCTAATGCTATACCTGAAACTTTAAATGAGGTTGAATTGAGTTTAAGGTATGGTAAACTTGAAGCCGAATCCCTTGCTTCGTAAAGGATTTTCATATGAAGAGCTCTATGTCAGAGGGTTTTGTTTCTGAGATTTCTCAGAACAAGCCCCTAAACCCTAAACCCTAAGCCCCTAAACACCCTAAAAAGCCCTACCAGCTGGTGTATGGGGATGATTTAAGGATCATAGGTGTACCCCCTAAGGCCTATACGGTTCAGGGCTTTGGGTTCTATATCAGTTTTGGGAGAGACAGAAGCGTAAGCGTGGGAAGCTTTCAGGCAACACCCCGGACCAACCTTGATAAGGTCCAATATCACTCAGAAACCCAAGTAAAAAGCTTTGCAGAGTAGGGCTTAGGGTTTAGGGTTTGTCTTGGTTGGATTTTGGATGTTTTTGCCATTAGGCAACGTAACCTCAATATGGTACTTCACGTGGATTTTCAGGGGACCTCCAGATGGGACTAAACCCTCAACCCTAAACCCTAAACCCAAAAGATCGTCTAAGAGCCTCAGGGTTGTCTTGCAATCTGTTCTTGAAGGGAGTCCTTCCTTTATAGTCCCCCTTCGGTAGATAGAATATGGCTCTGGGCATATTATAGGTAAGACCCCCATCTACTCCATATTCTATCTACTTAAGGGGGACTATAGAGTTTGGTGGTTTAGGTGTTTAGGGGTCTGTTCCTACTCAGGTGGTCTGTAGGAATCTACCCTAGCATTCTTGGTATTTGTTGTTAGTACTTCTACTTTTCGCGTCTCCGAAAATTGAAGTTGCTGTAAACCAAGGTGGCGCTGGTCGGCGTTGACCAGTACATCTTGAAATCTGGTACCATCACCACCGTGGAGGATGAAGGGTTTAGTGTTCAGACGGCCTAAAAGGAAGGACTTGCAGCTCCCAAGGCTACAGTGTTCAATATTCAGCTTTGCATGGGACGGCGCATGGGTGACACATTTTGAAACCATAACAAGCAATACCCTTCCCCAAATATTCATGCAAAAAGACCATAGTCTATGTAGGGCCACTTCTGGGGTTCTATGTCAGTGCTGTGGTAACACAGCCTCTTGGAGGATGCCCACAACATCGCAGACATGAAGTACAGCGTGTCTCCCGTCGTGAAGGTCGCTGTGAAGGCCAAGGATGGCAAGGACCTGCCCAAGCTGGTCGAGGGCCTGAAGAAGCTTTGGAGTTCAGTGGGCACATTTTCGGTTCCCACTATATACCATTATTTACCATTATATATCTCATATAACCATTATATTATATAACCATTATTAAAAGTTGAGAAACTCTGTAGTATCTAGGGGTCCGTTTTCCTGCCTGCCCCTTTTATGATAGCCTCACATACTACCCGCATAAGCCGAAAAAGGAGTTGGACAAGTATTGTAAGAGGCTTTTGGTACTACCCAACCCCCAAAGTGAGGACTTGATACTTTTCATATGAACACAGCAGGGTTCTATTTTTTGAGGGGTTGGGTACCCAAAAATCAGTATGAATGCTTATGTAATCTTAGGTTTCCACTTCGTTTACCATGTCTTTTCCATTTGATCCTGGAGTAGAACAAGTAAGGAAGCTCTCCAAGTCCGACCCTCTGGTTGTGTGCACCACTGAGGACTGACTTGCACCTTGCAAATTTTACAACACTTGGATTTAGGTTCTAGGGTTGCGGATGAGGCCCTAAACCCTAAACCCCTAAAATCCTAAACCCCTACACCTTGAACTCTAAAACCTACACCCTAACCCCTAAACCCTAAAACCTAAACCCTAACCCTTAAACCCCTCATGCAACTCAGGGTTCCAGGCTTTGTAGTTGGACCGCGGTGTACAGCCGCCCGTGTGTTTTCGTGCACTTTTCGGACTTTCAGCTGGTTTCCTTGTTCGAACAGTGAGTGCGATACCAGAGCATCCATGCCCAAACCATACTTCCGTTCGTCTTCGAGTGGATGCGACTACCAGAGCATCCATGCCCAAACCATAATTCCGTTCCTCTCGAGTGGATG